GATATCTCGCTCAACATTGGTTACCCCCCCCCCCCCCCCCCAGTCCATCCACCCTCCTCCTTCTCTTCACGTTTCATCGAACCCCTCTTTTATAATGCTTCTTCAAACTCTTGAAGTTTACCAACTCGGCATAAGCGCCATTCCGCTTCATCAGCTCGCCCTGGGTGCCCTGGTCCACCACGCGGCCCTGGTCAAACACATAAATGATATCCCGCCTCTGGATGGGACTCAAACGATGGGGCACCGCAATCGTCGTACATCCCTTTGGGGGCCTATCGAGGGCCGCCTGGACGAAGTGCTCGCTCTCGGAATTCAGGGCGCTGGTGGGCTCGTCGAACAACAAGATCTTTGGGTCTCGGATGAAGGCGCGGGCGATGGCCATGCGCTGCTTCTGGGCGCCGCTGAACAGGGCGCCCTTGGAGCCGACCACAGTGTTGTAACCCTCCGGCATGGACAGGATGAAATCGTAAATGGTGGCCCTCTGGGACGCGAACTTGATCTGGTCGTCCGTGACCTCGGCCGGCGCGCTTAGCACGATGTTGTCGCGGATGGTGCCCTGGTAGAGCGTGGGTTCTTGGGAGACCAGCGCGATGAAGCTGCGGTACTCGTTGACATTGAGGCTGCTGATCTCCTTGCCGTCGATGAAGATGCCGCCCGCGAGCGGGTCGTAGAAGCGCTCGAGCAGCGCGATGGTGGTGGATTTGCCGCAGCCCGACGCGCCCACGAGGGCGACGTACTGGCCGGCCGAGACGGAGAGGTTCAGGCCGCGCAGCACGGGCTGCTCGGGCCGGGTCGGGTAGCGAAAGTGCACGTCGCGGAACTCGAGGTTGCCCTCGGTGGACTCGAGCTTCTCGCCGCCCGCCGCCCACGTGTCGACCACGGGCTTGCGGTCAAAGAGCGTCTTGAGCTCGCGCGTGGCCTCGACGGCCTTGCCCATGTCGGGGGCGAAGCTGAAGACGGACCCGGCCGACTGCGCGCCGAAGATGACGGAAGAGAAGACGATGAAGAACTGGAACATGTTGTACTCGTACTTGGCGATCAGGGTGCCGCCGTACCAGAAGCCGAGCGCGAAGGCGAGGAACATGAAGGACTGCGACGCCGCGTACAGGAGGCTGGACTTGAGCACCGAGATGAGGCTGGACCGCTGCTGGACCGCGAGCGACGCCTTGTACTGGTTGAGCACGTCGTCCTCGCGCGTCAGCGCCGCCACCGTGCGCATCGCCGTGATGGCCTCGGACGCGTAGCTGGCCGAGCCCGAGTAGGCGCGCTTCGCCCGGCGCTGGTAGTGCGCCAGCATCCAGAAGCGGAAGAAACCGCAGCCGATGACGATGGGCATGGTGGCGATACACACGAGCGCCAGCTTCCACCCGATGGAGAGGGCGACGACGCAGGCGGCGATGAGCGTGGTGGACACCATGATCAAGGTCCCGAGGGTCGAACCGCTGAGGCCGGCGACGTGGGTCGTCTCGGTGCTGAGGAACGAGGTGAGCGCGCCGGCCGAGTTCTCGTCGCGGTCAAAAGTACTCGACGTCCTGGCGCAGCATCGACCGGAACTACTTGTCCCGCACTCTGTGGATCTAGCGCTCACTGCACTTGTCGAAGGCGACACCCTGCGAGACAAACGAGTTGAATATTACGATGGAAGCATCAGGTACATGAGGGACCAGAAGGACGCTTCGTACTGGATGTACGGGATCGAACTCAGGGGTGACGGGTGTTGAGCTGATTTCGATCAGTTAGCGTTTATAATTCCACGAGCTGGCTAGCTAACCATGAGTGCGATGGGAAAAGAAGAAATACGTACAGAGCGCTGATGAGCTTGGCGAAGAAGAACGGCCTGGGTCGGGTTACCCACAACCGCAGATGGCCGAAAAGAAGAGACCGATCATCATGAGCTTCCACTCCTCCTTGTTGAAGCTGGCGATCACCTTGATGAGCGTCCCGAGGCTGTACTGCTTCTTGGCGTCGCCCGACTTGCGTCCGGCCAGGACCATGGAGCTAGCACTCTGCTGCGACTGGGTGCGGTTGAGCCTGGCTTGGATGTCGTCCTCGGGGTCTTCGGGCACGCCGGCGCCGCTCGCGCTCTTGTGAGTCGACGACTTGCGGAGAAGAGCCGACTCGACCTTCTCCAGCGCCTCCTCCTCCTCGACCGTCATCTCGTTGACGGCCGCGATGGCCTGGGCCGTGACGAGGTTGAAGTATGCGCCGCGCTTCTCGAGGAGCTCGTCGTGCGTGCCCTGTTCGACGATCTGGCCCTGCGACATGACGACGATGTTGTGTGCGTCCTTGATGGTCGACAGCCGGTGAGCGATGGTGATAGTGGTGCGGCCCTCGGCGGCGACCTCAAGAGCAGCCTGCACGACGCCTTCCGACTTGGTATCCAGGGCGCTGGTTGCTTCATCCAGAAGTAGGATCTTAGGGTCCGAAACCACGGCACGGGCGATGGCGATACGCTGCTTGCTGGCCACCGCTAAGCAAGAAACCGCGCTCACCGACGTTCGTCTCGTAGCCCTCGGGGAGCGAAGTGATGAAGTCGTGAGCGTTGGCCTTCCTGGCGGCGTCTTCGATCAGTTCCTTTTGCTTCTCCGCACCCTCGTTCTCCCACTTTGTCCCGATCAGACCGTGGCGGATGTTTTCGTAGATGGTGGTGCCGAAGAGGGTGGGCTCCTGAGATACCAATGCGATCTGTTGACGCAACCAGCGGAGGTTGAGGGTCGAGATGTCCACGTCATCGAGATACACAGCTCCCTCGAGGGGCGAGTAGAACCTCTCGACGAGTCCGATAATGGTCGACTTGCCGCTTCCCGAAGCGCCAACAAGCGCCGTCGTCTTTCCGGCGGGGATGGTGAGCGAGACGCCGTCCATGACCACGACGTCGGGGCGCGAGGGATAGACATGCTTGACGCCCTCCAGACGGATAGTGCCGGCCACGCTTTCCAGCTTGGTGCCCTCGGTGCTCGACGGGTCGATCGGGGACTGGCGGTCGATGGTGCTGTAGATCTTGGCGGCGGCGCCGAGTGCCGTCGTGAAGGCCTGGAGGTTGGGCGCAACGTTGCCAAGGTTGAAGGCGCCAATCATGACGCTCATCATGACAATAAGGACCTTGCTGAGAGGGACCTCCCCGTTCACGAGGAAGCGCGAGCCCATCCAGAAGGCCAGGCCGTAGTTGAGGTAGAGAATGGTCATCATACCGGCAATCATGACGCCGAGGGTGCTCTTGAGCTTGAAACCGAAGCCCTCGGCACGGATGAGATGGGTGTCGTACTGCTTGGCCAGGCGGTCCTGGGTGCCAAAGGCGATGGAGTTGCGGACGCTGCTGATGACCTCCTCGGCAATGGAACCGCCCTGGGCGTACGAGGCGATGTTCTGCTTCGAAAACCTGACGATGAACCGCGAACCCGTGCCCATGCAGAGCATCAGCGCCACCACAGTGCTGAGCAGGATGAGGGTCAACTTCCAAAAGCTGATGAAGCCGATGATGAAAGCAGCGACAAAGGTAGCGACAGCCGCGAGGGTGAGGCCGACCTTCTCCGAGATGCCCTCCTGGATCAAGTTGGTATCGGCCGTGATGCGCGTGGTGACCTCGCCGGCGCCGAGCTTGTCGAAGAAGCCAATGTTCTGCTTCATGCAGCTCTCGAGGTAGTGCTCGCGGATCTTGGCGCTGATGTGCTCGCCCGTGTAGATGAAGCCGACGGTGGCGACGTAGGAAGTGACGAACTCGCCGATGGCCAGGTAGACGAAGTAGAGCACCAAGCTGCCCAGCTCGCTGTTAAACTCGGCCTCTGACATGGTGGTCCCCGGGGTAAAATAGGTCTGAAAGGTCCCTTGGAGGTTGCCGAAGATGATGGTCATCAGGGGGAGGGCGGCACCAGAAGCAATGGCGCAGATGGCGGACACGAAGATGATGAGCAGGTCATTGCGTGATGAGTAGCGGTAGAGCGTGGCCATCCCGACCTTGACATCGGGGGTGTAGACCTGGTCTTTGAGGATCTTAGCCTCCCTCTCGGGGAGGTGGGCGAAGGGGTCAGCCTCGACCTCTTCATCTTTTTGGGCGACAACTTTGCTATCGGCTTTGGCGAGGTCTATCGCGACTTCCTTGTGATTTCCGTTGCTGTTTTCTGTCGAATCCCCATTGCTCGAGCCGCGTACTGATGGGACGCGGTCCGGCGTGGGCGCCGCGCTCTTCTCGTTCAAGTCGGCGGCGGCCATGGTGTGGGAGTGGGAGGGGGGTCGCTTTCCTCCCAAACGGCTTTAGCTTAGAACTATGTCCGAAGCAAGACGCGTTCAATATGCAGGCTCAGGTCGAGCAACTCGCTCGATTTTACACAATGTGTTGCATCAGCCGATGGATGGGATGGGATATCGTAGGGCTATGATGACGCTTGATGGGGGAGGAGGAGAGGGGGGAAGGTTAATAAATAAACAAAGACAAGGTTGTTGAAAGTCAGATCATGCATGGGAAAAAGAGACAAACAGGCTAGCTAACTAGTAAACGCGCCTCGGGTCCGATGTGAACTTTATTTGGAGTTGTGCCGACCCCCATCCATCCACTCTTGCCTCTTCCCCCCCCCCCCCAAACCCAATTCCCCCATCTCCCATCCCTACCTCACCCTTCACATAACCTTGTTCAAAAACAGAATGGCGCCCCAATGGTCGGGTCTCAGAGAAAGCTGGGGGCACGAGGATCTTGCCGATCCAACCGAACAAATCCGGTCTTCGTACGAAGTAGCATGCCCAGGGAGTCATCGCCGGTGTTCGCACTCGCCACCGGGCCGATGTTGCTTTCGAGAAGTCCCCGGAGGAATGAGAAGAAAGAAACGGAAACACTTGCGCGCGGCTTGTTCTCGCTTCCGCTTCCAGGGCCGCTGCTGACCAGCCAAACGGAACACCCTAGCCCGATGCCCCACCACGCAAATTACAGGGTCCCGTCGCCGATGCCCGAGAGGGGACTTTTTTGGATATTTGACCGCTTCCAACAAGAACTTTCCCAGGAGCCCAGCAGATGGCTTTCACACACAACCAACAGCACAACTAATTAACAAACCATGGTGAACCGTTCGCATTCGAGCCCAGTCCATGGGAGGACAAACCACTCAACACATCTCGTACGAATTGCATCCCGTGTTGGGTTGGGTGTCAATCGACGAGGCACGACCTGTCAAGGTCCCAATTAGGAACTCAATCTGACCCCTCCATTACTTATCGCGTTCTCCGAATGACGCATTCCATCGGTGAAGTGAGAAAGAGAGGGTTTTTTTGAATGCGGTGCAACCATGCAACCATCCATCCACTCGGCGAAGCAGAGAACGTGGGCCAAGGCTTCCCGGGAAACCGGGGCCCCGGGGTTTAACAACCTCCGAGATGATTCAGTCGGAGACCGTGGATTGTCTCGCCTTTGCCGCATTCAGGGGGTAGGATCGAAGATACCTTGCAATCCTTTGCAAACGGCAACTGGACCGCCTACATACGAAGTACATAAACGAAGGTCATATTATTAACCCAATTGGGACCAATCCGGCCTGGGGAGAGGAAAAAGATCGGGGATCTGGAACAGAGACACTCTCCCCAAAGCCCTCGATAAGCTCCCGAAACTTGGCACTTGGCGATGCATGGCGTCCGGGCCGCTCGGGGTCGGTTGACAGCTGCAATTCCATGTCCCGTCATGGGAATGGGAGCCGGGTTACCCTGTGTCACGATGCGGCTGAAAAGCAACCCATCCGTTCGTCACCAACAAGACTGCGGAACTTGTCCTACATAATGATGCCTGGGAGGCTCTGTTTCACTTTGCCCCCACGACGAGGGAAGGAAACACCACTTCCCGTACGGATATAAACGGACTTTAAATTTCCTACGCGTATTCGAGAAGCATTGAATACGCAACACGCATCTCGGTTAGGAACCCGACCTGGCCTGTCCCCTGTCCCTTCAGCCCTGCCTCAATGGTCGTTGAATCCTTCAAAAAAAAAATGGGATGATTGAGAATGATGAATCCCCTAAATCCTGAACATGCGGCGGGGTCCACGGGGCTAGGTTGACACTATCTCCGGTGTCAGTCGGGGGGACGGCTGTTTCCAGGCCTTGGGCCCAGAACAATGCCCGACATGGGTCAACCAACCATCCGTCGCAGCCTCAATTGCCCCGCCGTGGAACCCCGAACCGATGGTGGTTCGGGTTGGAAAAACAAGACCCCTATCGTAGCGGGGCTGTTCTAATCGGTGGGCTGTCGGCGGGACCCAGCGACACCGCCCAAAAATTCCCATGGCAGAAAAAAATCCCCAGTTGAGACTGACTTGAGTGCAAGTCGGTGGTTGCTGGAGACCAGAGTGTACCTGGAAACTCCGTTGACGATTTACACACAACACCACCACCCCAATCCAACCCCTCCCTTTGCCGTCGTCCGACATCAATCGAAACCCACCACCACCGAAACACCAATCTAATAACAACACCGCCGCCACCATGCCCAAATCAAAACGCAGCAAGGTCTTCCACCTCACCCAGGTGACCAAGAAGACACGCGAGCAAAAGGACAAGCTCTTCTCCAACATCCGCGAGTGCGTCCCGCAATACCAGCACTGCTTCGCCTTCAGCATCGACAACATGCGCAACAACCACCTCAAGGAAGTTCCGCCACGAGCTGTCCGACTGCCGGTAATTCTACCCCACCAACCACCTACCACCACCCTGCCCCCTCCCCCCAATAACTAACCCCTTCCCCCGCAGCATCTTCTTCGGCAAAACCAAACTCACCGCCCGCGCCCTGGGCACCACCCCCGAAGACGCCCAAGCCGACGGGATCGACCAGCTGACCCGCTACCTAGCGGGCTCCGTCGGGCTTCTCTTCACCAACCGGGCCCCCGCCGCGATCCAATCCTACTTCGCCTCGCTCACGCACGTGGACTTTGCGCGGGCCGGCACGGTGGCCTCGCGCACGGTCACCGTGCCCCCCGGCTTGGTGTACTCGACGGGCGGGGAGGTGCCGGCGGAGCACGACGTGCCCGTGGCGCACACGCTGGAGCCGGAGCTGCGCCGGCTGGGGATGCCGACGCGCATGGTCAAGGGCAAGGTCTGTTTGGGCGGGGATGAGAGTGGGGAGGGCAGTGCGGAGGGGTATACGATTTGTCGGGAGGGGGAGGTGCTGGATTCGCGGCAGACGCGGTTGTTGAAGCTGTTCAGTGTGTGTATGAGTGAGTTTCGGGTCGGGTTGTTGGCGTATTGGAGCGCGGCGAGTGGTGAGGTGACCGAGTTGGAGGGGGCCAAGGAGCGGTTGGCGATGTTGCAGCAGCAGCAGGAGAAGGGCGGTGGAAAGGGAAAGGCGAAGGAGGGTGATGATGGTGAGATGGAGGAGGATGAGGAGGATGAAGAGTAAGCTAGGCGTCAGATGGGGAGGAAGCAAGGAGGCGATCTGTTTGTTTCATTGATTGTGCATATAGGGGTACTTTTGCATGATACCATAGCTTTTTCTGGGCTTGGGTTTTCGGGTACTGGCGTCTTGGGAGGCGGGTAAAAAGAAAACGAGGGCGGGAATAGAGCAGGTCATTGCCGTCAGTCAGTCAATCAGTCACTCACTCGGGGTCCCGCTGCACTACCACTATCTGAGCATTCTGCTTCTCCCGACAACACAGGATAGGCAGCTCTGCAAAGCTACACTGAAAGGATCGAATGCGAATACGACTCAACGCAGGAAGGAAACTTACACATCATCATCTCAAGGGGCCACCAATATATATATACACACATTCTTGGGCCGAAGCCCAGGTTGCCCGCCCTCCTCCACCAGGCCAGTAGCAGGAAACAAACGAGTCCCTTACCTCTGACCTACCTTCACGTCGTTCTCATTGGGCAAAAACGATTATTACCTAACATCGCTTCCTTGCTCCGTTTTGTTACAGGCGTCAAGAAGAAGTAAATAAATACAAGACGAAGAATGGTTACCTTCCCGCGAACTCTGTTCGTACTCGTAGCACAAAGGCATTGTAGCAGTTCGGCCGTGGCACGGCTGACCGGATTGTCTGAGTGGCTAGGTCTTTGGGCGACAAGAAAGATCCGGGCAGTGTAAGCCGTCCGGTTCGGGGTGACGTGAGAGGCTTCCTGGAGTGCTAGACATGGCACTGGTTCGATGAAGGAGGAGATGGTACTTTGAGGCCGGACGACATCTGCTGCGGCCGGCCAAAGGTGGCCCTTCCCTTGTGGGCGAGTCGGCGTTTTGACGAGACGGCTTACCCTCATTGTCGAGACGAGACGAGACGAATCGGGGAGACGAAGAAAACGACAGTGAAGAAAGTGATACCCACCACAAGACATGAGCCAGTCTTGTTAGTAGCGTCGCAACTTCCTGGGGTCTTCGTAGCCGCCGTCGAAGCCGCGCTTCCGGGAGTCGTCGTGGTCTCTGGGCCGGTCGTAGTCTCTGCCACCGCTGCCGCCGTACCCACCATTCTCGCCGCCGCCGCGCGGTCGGATGGGCTCCATGTTGCTGCCAGACTGCCGGGGGTTGCGGTCGCGGAAGCCTCCGCCGCCAGATCTGTCATCATATGAGCGCGAGCCGCCACCGTCACGGCCATACCCACCACCCCCTCCTCCTCTGGGGCCGTCCCGATGGCCGTCGCGGCCGCCGTAGCCACCACCGCCAGGTCCGCTGGGTGCGTTAGGGGGCCCGCCGAAACCGCGATCGCGGTTTCCATACCCGCCGCCGCCGGGACCACCAGGGCCGGAACGAAACCCACCCCGGTCTCCAAAGCCGCCGCCGCCGCCACGGAATCCACGATCGCGTCCGCCCCTGAAGCCACCACCAAAGCCGCCGCGGAACCCACCGCCAAAACCGCCGGGACCCATGGGTCTGGCCATGGACGCCTTGGTGTACCCGCGGCCGCCGAGGCCACCTCCCAAGCGGCGGGGCTTCCAGCCTTTGACGGTTCTGCCCCTCTCAACGTCAACCTTGATACGGCGATCCTTGATGCGGATACCATCACATCCATCCAGAGCAGCTACTCGCGCACGCGCCAGATGCGCAGTTGTCAGTAACGCCTTACCATGAGATGACTTGTTACCTTTGCGGTAGGAGGGTGGGGTGGAGGGAAGGGAAAAGAAGGGAGGACTGGCAAGCTTGAGGGCCGTCATCGTCCTGGGGTGGATTCCGGCAAGCGGCGGGATGGCAGTGTCAGAATCAAAGTGGCAGCATTACCTCTCATGTCCTTCTCGCGCTCGAACACTACGAAGCCGTAGCCGCGATGGGGTTTCTTCTTCTTGTTTCCCTTCTCGTGGGCATGGGTATCACGAATGATGCGAATCTGCTGGAGGTCAGCCTACCGTCCACGGCAAGGGTGAAAAAAGGGGGCACGTACGCGCTCAATGGGCCCAAACCGTCCAAATTCGCGCTCCAGGTCCTTCTCGTCGGCGCTGTAATCCAGACGCGCCACGATCAACGTCTTGAACGCATCACCACGGATGTTAGGGTCATCATGCGGCGAGTCTAAGCAAACATAACAAGTTAGCACCACAATCAACCAACCCATCAACGGAACCATCCCCAACCGTCAATAGAAAACAAAAAAACACACAATTCTTCGGCCCCTCGGTAACGGCCTCCTCGACCTGCTGCAACTTCTCGCGCTTCTTGCGGTCGCGGGCCTCGAGCCAGCTCTCGGTCGGGTGGTATTCGTACTCGCGCTCGTACTCGGCCAGGGCCGGCAGGAACTGGGCGACCCCCGACACGGCGGCCGTCTTGCGCAGCTCGGGCGCGTGGTCCGAGGGCGGCACCCAGCGCAGCGGCGGGCGCGGCGCGAAGAGCGCAAGCAGGTTGGGCGGGAGCCGGTCCGTCATTGTTGCGGCTGGTGGTGCTGTGGCCTTGTTGCTTTCTTTTTTTTTTTTTTGGGCTGTTTTTCTTCTACACTCGCTAGGCGGGTTGTTGGGGTTGTGGTCGAGGGACGAGATTCGCGAAGGGTGTTGTCGAGGGCGAAATTCGACCTGGCAGGTTGATGCCGGGTGCTGGTGGTTGATTAGTATAGTGTCCAATGATGAGTGCGCCGCTCGGTTGATTGGCTCGCGATGGGCATCCGCGAGATGTTTGGTTGGAGACGAAGAAATGGACTCGAGAGAAAATGGGAAGCTCGCGATGGAAAGAAAGCATGCCTGGCCTACCGCGCGCGGCCCTGGATTGGACCGTGCACGTTGTTCACTTGTTCAAGGGACTCGAGCTGTAACCAATAATGTGGCCCTGGGCCCGCTTATTTTTCTGCCGCGTTTGAGCCGGGCCCTGGGCATTTTCTACCGCCGCAACTCGCGATATTCCTAGGTCATGCTCTCCGGACGACGACGGCGACGATGACGGTAAGGGCATTACAACAAATCTCCACCGGCCGGGTAAGATAGTCCAAAAATTACAATTTATTCACCCTCACAAGTACTGACCATGGCCTAGAACGGCGTCGGAACCTTCATCTTGCAATGCAAGAAGATGGACTTTCACTACTGTGACTGGGCGGGCAGTTCCAAAGGGATGAAGTACGTCACTTTTGTTTCTTCTGTAGATGCCGGTAATCACTTGTGCTAAATAATTCCCAGCGGCTTCATCAAGTCCCTACTCCCCAAGTTCGCCGCCGCCAACGCCCAAGTCGAGTTCGCCGTTTCGCCGCGGCCGTCCAAGCACCCCGTTATTATCGCACAGTACATCAACGGCCGCGAAAAGTCTATCTGCGTGCGCAACATGGAGCCCTATGAGATCCTCAAGAAAGCCGAGATCCTCCGCGACGGCAGCGGCGAGAAGAACCGGAGGACCGCCAAGCCCGTGCAGAGTATCAACGAGTCCGTCAGAGGCGTATGGTCCCCGTACCACGGGAATGGGTTGAAGGTATAAGGGCTCGGGGTCGTGGGGATGGCTGTATAAAAGAGTGTGCATATGGCGCAATGTTTTGTAACAATACGAATACTCATGCAGCAATGCTTGCTCAGGCTGGAGTAACGGTGTATGTACCGCATGGTCCAGGAAAAGGATAGAAAGGCACATATGCGGGTTTGGTTGGGTTCATTAAGTTTTTTTTGCTCATCTCTATATCCTCGCGGGTGCAATCCCGTTCTTTCCTTTTTCAATTTGCCCCCGGCGCCTTGCATGTCCGTCCCTACGTTACCTCTCTCCCTTGGCTAAGACGCTTACAGGTTGGAGTTGATGATGTCGACGACTATTTTCGTTAGCTTCAATGCACAACAGCGCTTGGGGTGAGACGAGCGGGGCATACACTCGGGCTTCAAGCTGGCACCGCCAACGAGGAAACCGTCAATGTCCTTCTCCTTGGCCAGGTCCTTGCAGTTCTTGCCGTTGACGCTGCCACCGTAGAGAATCCGGGTCTCCTCGGCGACGGCGTCGCTAACCTTGGCCTTGAGCCACTTGCGGATGGCCTCGTGCACCTCCTGGGCCTGCTGGACGGTGGCGACCTTGCCAGTGCCAATGGCCCAGATGGGCTCGTAGGCGATGACGATCTTCTTCCAGTCGTCACCCGAGACCTTGGCGGCGAGGGCGGCCAGCTGGCGCTCGACGACGGCGACCGTGTTGCCGGCCTCGCGCTCCTCGAGCGACTCGCCGCAACACCAGACCACGCTGACGCCACCGTCGATGGCGGACTTGGTCTTGGAGGCCACCACCTCGTCCGTCTCGCCCAGGATGGTCCGGCGCTCGGAGTGGCCCAGGATGGTCCAGTGGATCTCGCTGTCCTTGAGCTGGGCCACGCTGATCTCGCCCGTGTAGGCGCCGTTGGGCTTGTCGTAGACGTTCTGCGCCGACACCTTGACGGTGGCCTGCTTCACCTCATCTTGCGCAAGCTGGAGGTAGAGGGCCGGGGGGGCAATTACGACCTCTGCGGGCGAAGCGGTTAGCTAGCTCCCCCTCCACTTCCCCAGCTTCCGTGACTCTAGGAGGGCTGACATACCAACATTGGGATCCAATTGCGCCTTGTTCAAGCCCTGGACGATGCTCTTGATGGACTCCTTGGTTCCGTTCCTAGTTATCGTGGTGGTCGGGTCAGCTCGCCGGAGCTTCAACGCGGGGTTTTGTACACTTTCAGGTCATGGCGGGGTAACGCGGCCTACGTACATCTTGAAGTTACCGCCGACAAAGAACTTGCGAGCCATGATGGGCGGTTGTTTCGGTTGTAAGATAATAGGGTTCTAAAAAGGGAGAGTAAGGGTATCGGGATCGAGGTCTGGTTGAGTGTCGAAGGTGCTGATTAGAGAAGTTGTCTGGAAGTGGAAGTGGGATGGGGAGCTGCGGGACTAAAAAGTGGTGCTCAGCTCCAGCGGGATTTGGTGCAACCTCAGCTTGTAGTCCACCCCACGCAATGGAGCTGCTGCACGTCAGTCTTGGGCTCTCCATTTTACGTCAAGTACTTGAACATGTCATGCAGGCGGTATTTTGTCGTACTAAGGTGATTAATGCCTACTACTTGCGCAGTTCAGATCCCAATTAGGAAATAAGTAAACATTGAGCTTTTGTCATTGTGCTGCGCGGCTGACAGACTCGTTTCTGTGTTCCCAGATTCTACTGGTGCCATCCAGATGCCCGTCCCAAGAAGGGCCAACGTCACATTTCCCAATGTTCCCACACGTCGCGTCTCCGTCCTGGAGATTTCGGCTCAGACCGGCTATTGGTACCCCACAAGAAGCCGGGCACGTCCGGTCCGGCCCGGTTCATGAACTCCCAGCCTCACTCTCGCCCTTCATCGCCCAAGCCATACTTAACGATTCTTAACAAAGAACCCCCCTCTTGGCTGGGCTATCCGGTCTCTCCGCAGAAGTGCCTCCTTCATGTTAACCGCCTGCTTCTTCACCCTGGGGGCCAACCTCGCGTCGCCGGCCCGCTTCACCACCCGATAAGCTGCCGAGCCCAGCCGTTTGTCCTTTGGAAGCTTGGGCTCGCGGAGCAAAGCCTGTTCAGCAGCCCCAAGTTTCCTCCGCTTGTGCTGTCCATTGGCGTCAGAGTCGGTTTGCTGCGGGACGTCATCCTCGTCGTCCGATTCGAGGAGTTCAAGAGGTAGGAGTTTTGGCACCTCCCTTTCCCTCTTCTCCGTCTCCAACGCAGGCTCTTCGACGCCCGGGGTGTCCTCATCATCCTCATCATCTTGCCCGATGGGCTTCTTCCGAGTTCGTTTCCTCTCCGCCGCCTGCTGCCTGAGGAACGTATCGCGCTCCTGCCGTTTCCGCTTCAAAGCTGCAGCTTGTCTGTATAAAATTAGTGATCGCCGTCAACTCAGTGAGAATTTGAGATTAACTCACTGCTCAGCCGCTTTTGCAACAGCCCCAGCGGCTTTTAGAGTCTCGGCTTCCGCGACACGCGTAGAGACGGCTTCGGGCGGCGCCTCATCGTCGGACTCTTCCTCCTCCTCCTCTTCCTCGTCGTCTTTCTCATTCGTTCCGGGCCGTGATGGTTTCCAGAGGATCATTAGACGGCCCCTCTCTCGGAGTTACAAACTCATCGTGATCACTCTCATCAAATGTGATGTGTTTCCTGTGTTCTTTCGGCGTCTTGAACACATCCTCGTCATTCCCTTCCTGGCTCCCTGAAGCTGAGCCTTCAATCTTCTTCCGCCGCAACTCCGACAATGTTGGTAGCGGAATCTCAATGCTGACATGCCTATGCTTAGCAGCCCCAATCTCCTTGTTTCGGACAGCCAACCTTGCGCCTGACACGGAGTGCGGTTCGTCCTGCTGCAGCTCTTCATCTTCTTTGGGCTCCGATTTGTACTTGATGCCAGCTGCCCTGAGTAGTGGCTGGTCCTGGATGTTTTCGCTGTCGTGGGTTGGCTCCTCGACGTCATCCTCGACATCGGGTGCCTCTGGCTCAGAATCTGATGAGAGGATCTCAATCACATCCTGGGCTTTCTGCTTCTGCTCAGCCAGTGTCTGGCTCCTACGAGTGACCATGCTGCTGAATCACCACAACCAGGAATTTTGAGCTTGGAAAAAAAGGCCAGCCAAACTACCCCAAACTTTGAAGGTTTGTGTTGAATGTTGTCGTGCAAATTATGTTCTGTTTCAAAGGTCGATTCAATTGTTGAATGATGAACGGCAGAAGCCTCCAACACACCGTTTTCCTTAACTGAACTTTTTTTTTGGGTTGCAACCGTTCGAATTTCCGTTTCTGATTGGATTGTTGTTTCAAATGGACCCACCGACGTTCGTTCGTGCCTGCCCCGGTGCCCTTAGCCCACTCGCTCAAAACTTCTAGCACAGTGCCAACCAGTGGTTGAAGTTGTCGTTTGGTTTGTTTGTTCCGTCAACACCATCACCAACCACCACTTACACTCTTGTATAAAGTAAACGCAAGATGGTTGACGATTCAATTCCAATTCCAAATACCTCGTAATCTTGGCCAGTCGGTCAACCATTTGGATACTCAATCCGAAGAAACTTGTTCTCGCACCAAGCCCTCACTCAATTCTATCTTGAGAGCTTCAGCCATGTTCTCACTACGGTCTTCAGTCCCGGCAAGACGGGTTGCTTGTGCTGTCCTCCAACCAAATGTGTTTGTGTTGACTTCACAACTCTCGGTCTCCTGGCATCATGGACCACCCCAACAACAACAACAACAACAACAACAACAGCAACCACAGCAACAACGACGGCAGTATGCGATGCGTGCCCCTTCAGTTTCAAGGCGCAAAAGATTCATACCTCTTGCACTCGTTGATTCGCTCGATTCGCCCGATTTGCCCAATTTTCCCTTCAAGGACGTCCCTATTCCACCTATCGACCTTTGGCGGTCGTTCAAAGACAAGCGGGGGCTTGGTGAGATGACTCCAGAGACTTGCCTTCACGCCTTCAAGCAATACTGCCTCGTTGCTCCCAATGATCCCATGAGCACCGAGCCGGCTCTCGTTTTGGAAAGGGGTACGTGCGAGACGGCGGACAAACCCGTGGCTTCTACACCAGAAACTAAGAGCCTACAGACTTTAACATCGACCTCTACACTCTGTATTACACCTCTCTGCCACTGATCAACACGCTGGATCAGAACCTCAGCAAAATAGGGTACCGTATGCTCATCATGGCTTCCAACTTGGGCTATGCACCTTCCACCCTCACAGTCATGGGCATGGTTGCGCAAACCGGCCGACAGCCCAACATGGCAAAGTCCACGGCGTGGCGCACATTCGACACGAACTTCAAGCGGCTCGTTCGAACCGGGAACAGCCCAGACATCTTCACTTTGCAAGGCCTCTTAGCCAAGCTTCAAGGCGATGCGGATAACTACGTGATGAGTTGTTTCGATAAAGCTATTCAAGCAGCAAGGAGCATCCCGCGAAGCATCGCAGACCAACCAGCGCCAAAGAACCAAGACACCCCGGCAGGCCGTAAACCGAGATGGACTTACGAAGCTTTCTGCCACCTGGGCCGCGGGCGCATCTTGCTGAAGCTCAACCGCACCAGGGAAGCCATCGCGTCATTCAAGATTGCCGCGTTAGAGCTGGACCACCCTGATGGATATGCTGAGTTGGCCAAGCTACTGGCCCCAGACGCGCCGGAACGAGAGACATATCTCATAATGGCCGCCCAGGCCGGCAATTTTGAGGCTTGCCGGCTTCTTGCTCTCCTCATGGCTGATAGGGCTGCAGACCCGGCCCTTCCGCGGGACGAGCGTGTCGTCGCTTCGAAAATGGCCCACGAATGGGCAGCGATTGAACCGGACGCTGAGATGAGGGAGCAAGTGGGGCTTCAGGTGACTGAGAAGTTGAGTGCGGCTTCACTAGGCTGAGGAAACGAAGTGTTCTTTGGGTCTGAGTCCGTAAGGTTAAATCCTAGGAGTACAGGATATTGCCCTGTGTCCGGGCAGGTGGCCAAACCTCAAGGTCACAAGCCCAGCAACTTCACATGTACATGCAATATGGAACGTGTATAAGAAGGTGTGGAATTCCTGTACATTCTTAAGAAACGCCATTGAAATGGAGAGATACCCTTTGGAATTGTTCCTGGGCCTTAACTCTTTTATTTATCTTTTTCTTCTCTCCCATTCCTAATATTACACTATAAATTGGCGATAACCTCACCTCAAAACAACCAGTTAAAAGGTCAACTTGGAAATATACCACCAACATTTAACCAGCGCCAAGAACCCAGTCACTACACGTGTTGGAGAGCAAAGTAGCATGTATGATGATGGCAGCCATTTATTCTTCACATAATCTTATCATTGACTGAGCAGGTATGAAACTAAACGGAACATGCAGTTGTATTGCTAGCTGCGAAACCAAAGAAGTCAAACCGTCGCCTGAGAAACACGCAACCATGTATATAACTCCGATCCATTGCCGAGTCGCTCATTGAAATAGGTATCAGTGTCCGAGGCCGTTACCCAGTTGCTCAAAACGCCGGGCTAAACCGAACCCTTCGCCAACCCAAGGAAAACCCTTTTCATGACCAGGTGCCAGGCAGGAGGCGAGCAGTAAGTAACCCAACAACAACTGATTACCTCTTCACCCTCTTCCGCCCCCTCCCTTTACCCTCCCCATGGCCACCACCACCACC